CCTGAAGAGTTGTTTCAAAGACAGCCTATTAGTTCAACACTTGAACCATAACCATGTGCACAACACTGTTCTTGATTGTGAGGAATTCAGCAAGGAAGGTCTGACCCAGGACACTGAGGAGTTTGCAGATGAATAGTGGAGGAAAAGACAGACAGACGGACATCTGGTTAACTCAAGTGCAAGACATAAAATACATGCATTTTAAAAGTGCCAGCCAGTAACTCTGGGATTTAGAAAAAGAAAATAGAATTTTAATTAGAAGTGTTAATAAGAAAGAAGGCACGTTTGCAATGCGTCTTGAAGAAGTAAGTAAAATAATTATCCAGAAAGCATGCATTGGCACATTTGTGCAGTAGTTACTCAGCTCAAGTAAGTGGGGAGTGTAAGATAATGGCTGCAGCAGCCAAGGAAGGCCGTGAGGAGGAGAGAGTCAAAACCAGGCCATTTTGTTGCTGAGATAGAGATGCAGAAATTGTACCTTTCTAGATTTTTCCTTCTATACTTACAATGTTTATTCTGTGTCAGCATGTGAGATTTCCACCTTCACTTCTTATCTCAGTTCTTTGGAGATCTTTTATTTTACCATTGATGATATAATTTCTCTAAAGGAAGAAAAACTTACCTGGTGTGGGATCATGAGAGCATGGAGAGTCTTAAATGCTTACTGGTTGAGCCTTGATCAGAGCAGTGCTTTTGTGTGGGTCAAGTTGGTATGGGAGACAGAAAGGAGGTCCTTGTTATTAAGGTGGGAGGGGAGAAATCCTTCACATCTCTAGATTATAGAACTAGGCTGTCACAGTGTGGAGGTGAGGGTTGGGGAAGTAAGGAATAGAGTTGCAAAGTTAAATTTGCAAAGTTCCAAAGTTAAGTTTGAGGTTTCATTTCAAGCCTCAAAAATGGAGTGGGGGCGAAGATGATGTCATGAACAAACTCATTTCTCACTTAATCCTGCACTGCCATTGAATCATAACTGACTCACAGCTGACCCTCCAACAGGTTTTCTGAGGCTGTGAATCACGTGGGAGGAGATTGCCAATCTTTCTCCCAAGAAGCAGCTGGTGAATTTGAACCACCTGCAGTGCCCTGCCATAAACAGAAGGAAAGAAATAAGCATGATCCTGATTAGAGATGTTGTTTGTTGTTATGTGCCATCAAGTCGCTTGTGACTCATAGCGACCCTATGTACAAGAGCTCTATACGCTCTTCTATCCTGTGCCAACCTAGCCATCTCAAACGCACTTATTCCCACCTCTCCAGTCACAGAATTGATCCATCTCACCAAAGGTCTTCCTCTCCTTCACCGCCCCTCCACTCTGCCAAACATGATGTCCCTCTCCAAGGACCAGTCCCTCCTTGCAACATACCCAAAATATGTCAGACGAAGCTTCAGAATCCTTAACTCCAGGAAACATTCTGGCTTCACCCTCTCCAGGACAAACCTGTTTGTTCTCCTAGCAGTCCATGGTATATTCAACACTCTTCTCCAGCACCACAGCTCAAAGGCAGCAATTCTCTTTCTAGCAACCCTATTCACTGTCCAACTCTCTGATGCATAGCATGTAATTGCGAAGACTATAGCCTGGATCAGGCGCACCTTAGTCTCCAGTCTGACATCGTTGCTCTTCAGTACTCTTGAGCGGTCCCTCACAGCCCACTTTCCCCAATGCAATTCGTCTCTTGATTTCCTGGCTGCTGTTACCAAAAGTGTTGACTGTGGAGCCAAGTAAATTAAAACTGTTAACTATCTCAATCTCTTCACCATCCATACTGATGCTGCCAATTTGCCCAGTGGTTAGAATCTTTGTTTTCTTGATGTTGAGCTTCAGTCCTGTAGTCCTTAATCTTCTGCATAAGTGCTTCAGGTCCTCCTCAGTTTCAGCAAGCAGGGTTGTGTCATCTGCATAACGCAGATGCTCTGTTTTCTATGATTAGAGATAGAGGATGATAATTTTTCTTTGGGTCATGCAGAATTCCAGAAGATAAAAATTTCATTATTTGTAGACTTGGACTGTGAAATTAGGAAAATTAGATTTCACTCAAAGAAGAAAAAAGATCCAAGGATGAAATCCCAGGAGCCTTCTCACTGGTGAATTGCTGAAAGGATCATAAAGGCATAGTCAGAGAAGGGCTAGGGAACAAGGTGAGGGGAGCGTCATAAGAGCCAAGAGAGCCAAGACTCCAAGAAAGAGGAAGTCATAAAGAATTTGGATACTGCTTGCAATCAGTTGGGCTCTCAGGAAAGTCTTCAGAACTGAACTGACAAAGTTGTCAGATGATAGAGATTTGGTGATTAGGGGGACTTTGGTCTTTTGTGACAGCAGTTTCCATAGAGAATAAGGTCAGAAAGCACATCCAGAGGCCATGATGCAAGAACATAATTGAGCAGAGCGTGTCAGGTTGGTAGACTTCTGGAAAATGGTTTGACACCCTTCAGACCTGGAACTGAACTTTCACTCCTGTGACTCAACTTCCAGCCAAATGATAGACCTAGAAGATGATCAGTAACATCAAGGAGGGTGTGCTTTTCAGAACAGTTAACCATCAACTAATCTAAAGGGCAGCACTGGTCCAGGAAGAAGGCTTAGAAGGCAGAAAGGGTAGAAAAGAAACAGGAAACATGGGGAGGAAATGGAGAGAGTAGGAAGCAATGGAATTGCAAGCAGAGTCACAAAATAGAACGTATATAGTTATTAAAAGGAAAATCTATTTGCTGTATCAATTTACACCCAAATCACATTTGAAAGTTAAAAGGGGTGGGGGAATGAGAAGATAATAAACATGAAAACTTAAGAGAGTTCTTTTTAAGTTAAGGGAGACTTCAGCATGTTTTTAGTCAGAATAACCTGTGGAAAGAATGGATGGAAACGTGAAATGGAGGGTAATTGATGCAGCTGGACGCCAGATAGATGGAAAGTAGTGAGATGCAGACGACATCACAAAGAGGAGAATCTGGTGGAGGAAAGCGAACCAGCTCAAAGTGGAGAGTTAACATAAGATGGCCTGAGCCTTTTCAATAAAATAGGAAGTTAAATCACCTGCTCAGGGGAAACGGACTGTAGATAAGAAGACAGTGGCTAAAGAAATGGCTTGTATAGTGGGAAATGTGGGAAGTTATCCTGAGCTCTAGATTGCTGAGCTGCAATAACCAGGCAAAAATGGAAGACCAAAGGGTTGAAGGTGGAGTGACTGGGAGCTGGTATTGGGGAGAGCATTCCTGAGATGACTTATTCTAGACTCCAGGCTTGACAGGCCTGTGAAGCCAGGTAGAGGTGACAGAGACCTGGAAGTCATAAACTACAACCACATCCCCAAAAGCAAGTGTATAGAAGGAATGAGGGGTGAGAGAAGCGGAACTAGGAAGGACATGCTATGGAATCACTTGTTTTCGGAGGTTCCCCTTCTTTAAACAACATTTAATATTTTACCTTGACCCACAGCATATGCTCCTTTTGATATGTAACTTCTCTCACAACTGTTTTAGTTTGTGCTCCACAATACAGAAATAAATTATGTAAGATAATCTTCTACTTTACTGCTAATATTTATTCTGGGCATCATGCAAAGCATTTTACATAAATTATATACTGCTCCTGAAAGCTCTATAGGTTTAAATAAATAATAAGGTTTAGTATTAAAAAATTGCTTTTGATTTATTTTTTTATTGTGATGTGAGTGAAAGTTTACAAACACTATTGATTTTTTCCAATCATTCATGTATATTTTGTTCCATAATGTTAGTTACAATATCCAGTGTCTAATCATCCACTCATTCCATGTTGTCTTTCTTGTGTTGATATGTACTACTGAGTCAACTGTGACTCATAGACCCTCATATACACAAGACCTCTGAACCCTGCCCTTTCTAGAGCCAATCTCACCATCTCTGACACATTTGCTCCCATTGCCACAGTCGTTGGGTCAGTCCATCTCATGTAGGGTCTTCTTCTTCTGTGCTGACGTTCCAAGCATGATGTCCTCCTTCTACCAGTATGCCCAAAGTATGTGAGACAGAGTTTCAAAATCCTTGCCTCCAAGGAGCAGCCTGGTTTCACTCTCTCCAAGACAGACTTGTTTGTTCTTTTGGCAGTCCATAGTATGTTCAATACTCTTCTCTAGCACCACAACTCAAAGGCATCAATTCTTTTGTCATCCATAGCCATTGTCCAGATCTCAGATGCATAGCAAGCAATTGAGAAGACCATGGCCTAGATCAGGCACACCTTAGTCTCTAGACTTACACAGTTGCTCTTTAGGACTCTGGAGAGGTCCCTGATAGCAAACTCTCCTAAAGCAACGTCTCTTTTGATTTTCTGACTGTTAAGAGTGTTGATTATGGGTCTGAACAAGATGAAATTATTAACAACTTCAATCTTTTCTCTATCATGATGCTACCAACTGACTCTGTGGTGATGAGAATCCTTGTTTTCTTAATATTAAGATGCAGTCATACTGAAAACTACAGTCCTTGACCTTCCAAATGCTTCATACCCTCCTCAGTTTCAGTGAGTTATGTCAACTGCATAATGCAGGTTGTTGATGAGTCTTCTAATCCTGATGCCACTTCTTTATAAAGTCCCTTTTAAAGATGAATCACAGATAGATTATATAACTTATAATTGTCATGTGGCTAGCAAATGGTGGAGACTGGTTGATTACGGCCCATACACTTACTCCTCTTCTAAATTGCCTTTTTGCCAAGACTTGCTGCAGATAGCAAAGAACAATTGATTGCTTTTTAAAAATCACTCGCTCATTGCAAATCACTCTCATATTATTTTTTTTCACAACATCCTTATGAGATTTGCAGACACATGCAAGATGAATGAGAAGACCTTAATTCTATGATCTCTTTATCTTCAGTCCTGGGAATCTGTGAAGTTTGGTCTTTATAGACATGTGATCAGGCTCAAGAACTAATATCTTAATGGGGCTTTTTTGGTGAGTGTCCTACGCTCCTTTTACAAAAGGAGTTCTCTTCACACACCTCTGCTTCTTTTCAGGTCATAGAACTCTGTATGTGGGAGTTCGAATGCCTCTGGGCCGACAGAGCCATCGGCATCACCGAACTCATGGCCAGAAGCACCGGAGACGAGGTCGAGCCAAAGGAGCCAACCAGGGGGAGGAAGGCCAGGAGGCCCTGGCCCATGGTAGTATGCCCAGGAGAGAGGGTGGCTGTTTATGGATGGGAGTTTTGGTGATGCTGAGGGATATCAAGCAGGTAGTCAAGGTTTTTTTAGTCCTTCTGTAGAGTTTTCAGAATTTAATTCCAAGAAGAGACACTTCTAAGAATCAGAAGCTTCTCTTTGAAAACGTCACTGTTCAGGCTTCAAAAAAATCAATTCCACAGTGGGTGAGATCATTTACTGGAGAATCAGTCATTCTTTTTGATCAAATTAGTCAGGTTTTCAGTTTCTTATGGGTTTTCTGAAAATAGTCTCAGTTCATGAATATTTCCTCCTGTGGAACTGCCTCCACAGAACAGCTCTTTTCTGGGAATAAAGAAAAATCTTTGATCTTCACTCAAGATTATCTGCAGTACCTTTCTGAAGTAGTTAGATCACCCAGATGTGCTAAGTAAGGCAGGATGCTATTTCTGCTTTAAGTTTGAGGCTAGGAACAGACTCTGTGGTTGATTTTTCTAGACACACCATCTCAGCGTGTTCAGTTCATTCTTGGCACTGAGGAGGATGAAGAGCATGTGCCTCATGAGCTGTTCACAGAGCTGGATGAGATCTGTATGAAAGAGGGGGAAGATGCAGAGTGGAAGGAGACAGCCAGGTGAGGCCCTAAAATAACCTCAACCACGATCTGCTTAAGTAGGCAAATGTGTACTTTCTAGCAAGTTATAGGCCTCCCTCTTACTTTTTACATTTATTTGTGGAAGAATTGATAACTAACATGAAGTCTGATGTTCCAGAGTGTTCTGCCGGATCTCTTGGTGTTGGCCTCTTTAATCACAGGTACAGCCATGGACCTTGAACCTGAGATTGGTGACATAGATGTGAAATATTCAGGGGATCCTCTCTCATATTAAAGGTCCCAGGTTAGCTCCTGGCTATCTTGGTAGTGCAAGTCTGATTGATAAGAGACTTGACAGGGCCATCTCAATTGGGACTTAACCCACATAGAAGAGTTCTACAATTTTTGTGTAGGTGAACCATAGGATCATTGAGTTTTTAATCCACTAGAAGTTTCAGAATTTGTCAGGATTTCATTTCATCTGGGATAATTCAATATCATAGAGACTTTTGGGATTATAATCAGCCTGGTACTAGGCTTGGCCTAGTGGCAGGAAGCTACGCTGCAATCCCAAAGGCACGTGGTTTGAGGCTACCAGCCACTCTGTGGAAGAAGGATGAGCAGTCTCCTCCCATGTGATTAACTGCCTCTGAAAACTGGCCAGAGGGTCAGCTATGAGTCAGTTTCGACTCGATGATACACAACATCAACAACAGCAACAACAACTAGACTTTTTGGGATAGTTGTAAAGTGGCCATGTTGGTTTCATGATCATACCTCCAAAGAACATTCATGTTAACCAGGGACCTTATTTATAGCTTTTCAAATAACTGACAGTGAGCTTTATGGATGCGTAAAGCCAGCATGGTTGAGCCTTGGGGAAGAAGGCAAGGTAGATAACTAATAAAATGTGGGTAGAGTTCTTAATTGAACAGTTCGTCCAGATGCTCACTGTATCTCTCTATGGATACAGAGCACTGGAATCTTTCTATGGTAGCAAAAATGAAATAGGCCAGTTGTCCTGATAGCAAGTGAAAAGGAAAGTAGGCTTGCTTGTCATTCTGTCTTTGTGAACCTCTAAAGGTCACAGGAACAGAATACTGCGGTTGCCCTTTTCCTTTTTTAAGTGGCTGGCTTCTAAAAAGAAAACATTGTCATTTTATTCATGTGCTTTACATGTGCAAAAGATGTAAGATAACATTTTTAATTGTACAGTAATGCATGTTGATTATAGAAAATGAGAAAATAAAGATAAGCAGAAAGGGAATGAAAATCATCTGTAATTCTCTTCTCCAGGGATATTGAGGAATATTGAACTGACCCACAGCTGACCCTCTGGTAGGTTTTTAGAGGCAATAAATTGCATGGGAGGAGATTGCCCATCCTTCTCCCGTGGAGCAGCTGGTGAAATCAAAGCACGTGCCTTTGAGATTGCAGCACAGTTGCTTAGCACTAGGCCACCAGAGGTTCCTTGTCTTAAATATATGGTGCCATAAATAATCTATTTCTAAATATTTAAAAACAAAATTGAAATTGCACTCAGTTGTGCGCTATTTAATCGTACTCTGCTTTTTTAAAATTTACCAACAAACCTTGTACTTAAAAGTGAAATCTTAGTGTTTGATACAATTTCACTCACTCTCTCTGTGGTTCTCATTAAAGATTCACTATTGAAAATGCAGCATTTTCTATATGTGGCATCTTGTTATTTGTAATTTTTCAGGTGGCTGAAATTTGAAGAGGATGTTGAGGATGGGGGAGAACGCTGGAGCAAGCCGTATGTGGCAACCCTTTCATTGCACAGCCTGTTTGAGCTAAGAAGCTGCCTTATTAATGGAACAGTCCTTTTGGATATGCGTGCAAACAGCATAGAAGAAATTTCAGGTGAGCTTAGGTGAGGGAAAAGAAAACGAGGAGGTATGATATAGAAGAGAGAATAAAATACCTATGTATCTCCTTAGGCAAGTCATTTAACTTCCCAGACTCAAGATGCTCACCTGTGGAATGAACTGAGTTTCAGTCCATCAGTGTCAATTGGAGCAGAGAGATCAGATTAGGCAAGGACTGGAAATATTTATGGAATTTAGCAGCTGGGAAATGATGATATTTTCTTTTTATTCATTAATTTCTTATTGATGATGACTTTTATCAAGAGCAGTTTTATTAGGCCTGAGGGATTTTCCCTTGGTGAACTTTAAATGAAAGGAGAGAAAGCAGTGATTAGAGGGGTGGGTGAGCATTCTTTTTCCATCTGCCTCTCCAAGATGAAGAATTCTGAGGTATAAAACAATATCAAGGTTAGAAAATACCTGCTACAATAAGAAAAACAAACAAAATCAAGGTTAAAGTTACAAAACCATGGATCTTCATTCATTGCTCCTAGTCTTGGGTAGTGACTAGAGTTAGAAGTTGAGATTATGTTAGGACTTGGGGGAAGCTTGAAGTTAGATTGATAGGATTAAAGTAAAACTGCTAGAGATATTTTGCTCAAGTAACTAAAGTTAGTAGTAAGAATATATGAATTATATCAAGAATTTACTGTAAATCAGAATTGTACATACATTGTCTCACTTAATTTTTTTGTTTTTTTAAAACTTCCCTGAAGAATTAGCTCCATATTACAGATGAGAAACTGAAGTTAAATAACTCGCTCTCTAGAAAGTGGTGGAACTATAACAGAAGGCAGGTCTTTGGTTCCTGAATCTTGCTCTTGCATTGTTGTTGTGTACCTTCAAGTCGGAACCAACCCATAGTTGAACCTCCAGCAAATTTTCAGAGGCAGTTCGTTAATTACACAGGAGAAGAGTACCCATCAGAGCAGCTGGTGGGATTGCAACGCAGAGGCCACCAGGGCTTCCAAAATCCTGCTCTTAACTACTGTGCCATCTGTGTCTTAATACCAGAGAGTGAAATTTTTCCTCCCTTTTAGCTCTACTGAGCTAAACAAGTTAAAGGTTGATACCTGGTTCAAGTTATCAGCAGAGACTGTTCATTTAATTATTATTTATTTATTTTGAGTTCTATAGGTATAGTTCTTTTTTGACAATCACAGGAATATTAAATTGAGGAAAGCAATTTAGGATAAGTTTGGTATATGGCAGAGCCAAGTGGGTAATAATGTGGGTTTTCAAGTCACAAAGTCCTAGGTTTGAATTCTAACTCTGATACTTACTTGTGTGACCTTGTTGTTGTTGTTGTTGTTATGTGCCGTCGAGTCGTTTGCAACTCATAGCGACCCTATGCACAACAGCCCTAAACCCTGCTCTATCCTGCGCCAATCGCACTGCCTCTGACACACCCATC